CAAGGAACTATTTGATGTTTAATTCTTTCTAAGAAGAGCGTTTTATTGACAGCAATTCAAGTAATAATTTAAGAGAAAAAGCAATAATTGTATTGGCATCTAGAACGTTTTGATTGACGACAACGACAACGACAAGAGCAGTTGATTGTTGTTTTCAAAGGAGTTTGCAAAACGAATTTATTTGCACCCGTAAATCTGAAACAAGGCCGTATGAAGACGAAACAACTGGCATCGAGCTCAAAGAAATTCAAAGTGATCACGTGATACATAATCCATCATCTCATTGGTTGAGAGGGCGGCAACGCCCACTTTGAGCCTACCCTCTTAATTTTTAGTAAAAAAAAACCAAACAACAACATAAACTGGGCTCCTTGTTTTCATGAAGTATTTGCGGTTTTTCATAATTAAAAATAGCGGGCTCATTAGAAAGACAAAGATGACGGTTAGAATCAAAGAAAACTATTAAAGGAGGTCAAACGACCATTTAATTCATGTTTATTCATCAAATACTAACATAACAATCAATAAAACACGGATACCAAAAATTTGCCTGCGGGATTCCTGTGGGTTTGGCGCGGAAATTGTACATACCTTTCCCTCTTCTGTAATCAAGACCCCGCTACTCCCCTGCAATATAAATCCCATTAGGTATCGAGAATGCTATTATGAAATTAAACACAAATGAATGAATGTGTGTATATACATTTTTATTCCTTCTTTGTAATTGGAAAAACATTGATAATCAAACAAACAAACAAACAGTCATTCTTAGTTGGTCTCTTTTATTTATTATTTATAGAAGACGATAATTATTTGCAATTAATAATAGACGATAGATGATAACTGTTTGTATTTGATATTTATTCTATTTTAACTATAATTATGAAGATAAGGTTGGTCACTTCGGATTCTGTACTAATGCGGCTAACGTCACGAACATTCTCAATTGTTTACATTTAAATTACATTGGCTGCAATTGCAGATGAACGGAAAAGGCGTTCATGAGTTCGGACGTACATTAACTTTTTCTCTAAAATCGTTTATAGCATGACCTTTTGATAAAATGAAATGCAAAAATAATAACTCATCGCTTCAGTGCATACACTCTTGAGAATGATGAGCATGACGAGCTACACGGCTTAGTTACCGGCGTGAAGCAGCACTTTCAAAGTGCTGGTCTCAGATTTCATTTCTATTCATTGCATAGGGAATACTTGCGTAATGCATGTCACCGTACGGATTAACACAGCATGAGCACATAGCATGCCACTATCAATGGACGGCACATTACATCACTGAAACAGTATTTACGTCATTATAAGATATCATGTAACTCTACGTGGCGCTTTATTTGAAAGGGTCACTGAGAACGTTTCGATGAACTTATTGCCCAAGATCAAAGGATTTCAGGTTTTTCTTACACATTATCACTGC